AAAAAATGTTATTCAATTGTTCCTAGCAAATAAAAAAAGTAATTTCTATGGATTTCAGCCCCCTCCATATTTGCAAATTCCTTTTTTTTTTCCTGCTATGATCCAACTTTCTGTCAGAGGATGGCTATGTTCATTCTTCGTGGTCCCACTGTAAGTAGATTCATAGCCCCCCTCTCTTGCTCACTCTCAAGGCCAGTTCACACCAGAACATGGTGCATAAAAGGCGTGTTCAAAACACACTGCCTTTGCGATCTTCTGAGGTTGCCAATGCACTGTTCATGGCACCACAAATGTGGATCCCAAATGCAGTGTGTTTGCGAGCACCAAACTGCATGGTACCACAGTGCCTTTGGGTCCTGGCAGAGCCCGCTGACACATCTGTGCACTGGCAGGTGGTTTATGGCACAGACAGCAAAAGACTCCGGATACTCCGGTTTCCTTCCACCCTCCAAAGACATGCTGGTAGGTGAATTGGCTCCTGTCTAAATTGGCCCTAGTATGTGTATGTATGAATGTGAGTTAGGGACCTTAGATTGTACGCTCCTTGAGGGTTAGGGACTGATGTGAATGTACAATATATATATGTAAAGTGCTGCGTAAATTGACGGCTCTATATAAGTACTTGAAATAAATAAGATATATCTGGTTTGTAATCCGGGGGGGGGGGGGGGAGAGACTGACACAGGATATGGAGGATCCCCTGTGGCTGAAGGTACATAGTGCTGCTGCTGAGGAGCTGTCCAGCATTGTGTGGCTGAACTACATAGATGGCTCTATCACACCTCACATTACATGGAAATGCTCTCTCATTTTTCTCGTAATCCCTTGTTATACTTTAAAACCCCCAAATCTGATGCCGGCCATAGACGGGTCGAAAATCAGCCGATTTTTCAGCTGAAAAAAGTCGGCCGATTTTCGCACTGTTAGTGGGTTATTTGGTCGGCCGTTTTTCGGGTTTTTTTTTTTTGCACAGTTTTTTTATCGGTCATGTTGGAAAATTCACGGCCAATTTGGATGATTGGCCGATTTTCCCGGCACTGATGGGAGAAGAAGAAGATACAGGTGTCACTGAACGGCAGCTCCGTTCTTCTTCTGCTATTATATTTTATATGAAAAGTCTTGCGGCTGCAACAAATGTATCCAAATAAAAACAAAATGTATTTGTATTGCTGTCACATTGTATGGTGTGCTCCCCTGTCTCTGTCAAACTGGTTTCTTGTCCCATTCTTTTGTGGGCATTGGTGGCAGCATCGACAATGGCACCGACCGATTTTCCCCTGTCTATGGCCTGTATTAGACCCAAGGCTTAATGTATCCTCCTTTCCCCCCATACTGTACCCTCCTAACCACAGTACTGTATCCTCCTTCCCCCGTACTGTACCCTCCTGCCCCATGTACTGTGTCCACTTACCCTCCCCCCGTACTGTACCCTCCTAACCGCTGTACTGTATCCTCCTTCCCCCCCCGTACTGTACCATCCTGCCCCATGTACTGTGTCCACTTACCCTCCCCCCCGTACTGTACCCTCCTAACCGCTATACTGTATCTTCCTTCCCCCCATGCTGTACCCTCCTAACCGCTGTACTGTATCCTCCACCCCCCCCCCCCCCCCGTACTGTACCCTCCTTACCGCTGTACTGTATCCTTCTTCCCCCCCATACTGTACCCTCCTAACCACAGTACTGTATCCTCCTTCCCCCGTAATGTACCCTCCTGCCCCCTGTACTGTGTCCACTTACCCTCCCCCGTACTGTACCCTCCTAACTGCTGTAATGTATCCTCCTCCCCCCCCCCATACTGTACCTTCCTGCCCCATGTACTGTGTCCACTTACCCCCCCCCTCCCCCTAAGCGCTACTGTATCCTCCTTCACCCCGCTGTACCCTCCTAACCGCTGTACTGTATCCTCCTTCACCCCGTACTGTACCCTCCTAACCGCTGTACTGTATCCTCCTCCCCCCATGTACTGTACCCTCCTAACCGCTGTACTGTATCCTCCTTCCCCCCCCATGTACTGTACCCTCCTAACCGCTGTACTGTATCCTCCTTCCCCCCATGTACTGTACCCCTCCTAACCGCTGTACTGTATCCTCTTCCCCCCATGTACTGTACCGCTGTACTGTACTGCTGTACTGTACTCTCCTAACCACTTTATTGTATCCTTCTCCCCCCCCCTCGTACTGTACCCTCCTAACCACTGTACTGTATCTTTCTCCCCCCTGATTGGTAAGATGCAGTATATAAAATTTTTGGTTGTGGGTTTAATACCATTTTAATAGTAAATCAACATTTTAAATCATCATACAAATATATATTTTAACTCAACTCTTCATAGTTTTTGTGCAAAAACATGCTGTGGTCTATTGGGGTGGGGGGGGGGGGACACTCCAGCCTGTGCCTATTATTTGTAATTATTTGTATATGCTTAGAGATGGGGAGGTGAAGCCTCCATCAATCAACATGTATTATTCCACTCTCAGTGTAGAGCTGTTTAGTGGGCATGGAGGAGAGAGAGAACGTGGACTGTCATTTACCTGCAGTGTACTGTATACACCCACATGTGTGACTCTATAGTCATGTGGGCTGCACAGAAAGGAAAAAAGAAGGAACAGCTTAGAAGGGAACTGTAGATGGAGCATGCTTAGCAGATGTGACAACGGCTGGTCTGCACAATCCCAGGCTGCAGGGGGGACACAGACAAGGAGGGAGCGAACAGCAGAATAGACCAGTTTTTTTTATTATTACAGAAAACAAATGCCATAGTGCCAGAGTTTGAACATCATGTAATAATACAGCACGTTCTGACAGGTTTTAATGATGTGGATTTAATGACACTTTACCTACTAGCTGCCCACTTGCAGTAGTTTTACTGCCAGTGGGTGGCAGCTGCAAGCTCAGTGACATACCCGTACGTCACTAAGCACATGTGCTCCGGCACGCCCCAGACGCAGCGGCGCAACCCTGTGACCACTGTGTTCAGTGGACACAGCGAGTAATGGCGCTCAGTACCCAGCCTCTGTGAGCAGGCGGGTTATCATGCGATTGCTATGACCAATCATAGCGATCACATAATAACATGTAAGCTAACTGGCGTGAATTGCTTTCATTCAAGACATTTTGCTAACACTTGAGATGCTGTGATTGGTCACAACAAGTGATCACTTGTGACCAATCACAGCACCACAATAGTAAACACTAAGTGATTGATTTACTAAAGGTACAGTATATGTACTGTGCACTGCAAGTGCAGTTGCCTCAGATCCGAGGGGAAGCTCTGAAATGAGGGGAAGCTCTGCTGATTTCTTTCATCCGAACATGTGCAAGCAAAAATGCTGTTTTTTTTTATTTTCCTTTCATTTTCCCCTCAGATCTAGGACAACTGCACTTTCAGTGCACCTCCAAGTGCACTTTCAGTGCAAGGCCTCTTAAATCAACCCTGTAGTCATGAATGAAACCCATTCATGACAGTTCAAATGATTGCTTATAACAGTGATCATCACTGTTATAAGCAATCACAGTGTAAAAAAAAAAAAAGATCACCTCCACAGAGTAGTACAGTGTCACTGTCGTGACACTGAACTACTCTGATGACAGTATGTAAAATAAATGGTAAACAAATGATAAAAAAAATAAGAAATTGTAAAAAAATAAATAAATGTTTAATCATTTAAAATTGAATAAAAAAAACAACTTAAAGTATTTTTTTTTTAGGTACTGTCACTGGTCAGTATCCCTGATCACCACCACACCAGTCATAGTCACGGTTCCTCCATCACAATCCACTGCAGCCTTGCTTTTCCTGAACAGTTTACGCAACATTTTTCTTAGAGCAAGTATCAGAGAATGCTACAAAACAGGTCTGCTTCAAACAAACTTTAGTGCAAATCCCATCCTGGAGCCCCCAATTATTTTGCTTGTATCTTTTTGGTATACTTGTTGTAAAGCAAGGAAACAGAAAACCCTGAAGTATGTTAATGTGCTTTTACTAAACAACAATGCCATATATACAAACTACTTACAACTGTAGGAAAACAATACAAGACATAGTGGGGGAGATTTACTAAAACTGCAGCTCTGTATGGAAACGAATCAGCCTCCAGGTTTTGTGATCAAAGCCTAATTGAACAAGCTAATGTTTGAAGCTGATTGGCTTACCAATACTGGATACTGAGTACATCGGTTTTTAGTAAATGTCCCCCACAGAGTACTACAAATATCCACATAACACACATGCACATTCTAGTTAACTTTCATAGCAAATGAGCATTGACAATGGACTGTATGATATAGGGATATACACTAAAAAAAATCACTTATCTTGGGTTATAATGGCTTCATGATCTCCATATGCAAACAGGACTCTAGTCTACTTAAGTGATTGAATGAAACTGGGTTTTCTCATAGTGTAGATTTAGTGTCATCTCCAGGAGAAAGCACCTCTGACAGAATCTTCTTTGGTCTTTATGGAGCCCTAACTTTCAGCTTATGCTGGTTGCCTTTTATTTAGGAAGTTTCGGTAGCCGTTCCCACATTCCCTTTGCCTCTTCTTTACTACATCAGTTTCTCTGAGAGATGTGTTTTCTAGATCACATTCTAGATGGCACATGCCTTAGGTCAAATATGTCAAAAGATCAAGCTATTGTTTACTTTTATTGGTGTAGCCTGGGTGCAGTGTTTGACCAGAGGTCCTCTAAAACATTGGGAGCAGCTGAAAATGTGTACATTGCCCGTCTAATCATTTACATTTGGCCCAACATACAACAATAGTATCTATTTTCCCATTGTATTAGAGGATAGCATGTACAAACATTGTTCCAGAGGCATTTGTCTGAGAAATGTTTACGCAAGAAAACTGATGTTTATTCCTGAAAAACAGATTTTTATATGTAACCGAACCTATACTGTACTATACTATATATCTGATGTAACACAATCTTCCTCACCTTTACACTTAACCCCCACCCCCATAGTGCTTAACCACTTCCAGTTCGGCCCATGTACATAAATGGCTGGATGGGAGCAGTGCAGGAGCTGGTGGCCATTTATAAACATCCTCCCACATCCATTGCCTGTGCGTGCTCCCTGGGAGGACACAGCGGAACACTGTGTGAGGTCACGATCATGTGATCACTGATTGGCCAATCAATGATCACATAAATAGTAGTAAGCAAGATGTCACTCCTGACATCATTGCTTACTACGTGTGAAATCTGTGAATGATCACAGAGGTCACATGGTACAATGCTATTCACAACAGCCTTGTACCATGTGACAAGCTGTGACCAATCACAGCTCTCACAGTATTTATCAATGGCTGCAAGAATGCAGCCAGAGAGAAGGCGAAAGGAATGCTTTTACAGCCTTTATGGGTGTAAAAGCAATCAGTGTAAAAAACCCCCCCCCCAAAAAAAAATCTTCATCACCCCCCCACAAGTAGTACAGTGTCACTATGGTGACACTGTACTGCTAGGGTGACAATATGTTAAAAAAAAAATAAAACATAAATAATATAAAAAGTAAAAAAAATATAAAAACTATTTTTGAAAAATTATAATTTTTGGTTATAAACTAATTTGGTTTTTTTTTATTTTTACTAAAAAGATAGCTGAATACATTTTGGCCAAGATTTATGAAGAAACATTATTTATTTGCAAAATGTTATAAGAAAAACACTTTTTTTTTCCAAAAAGGTTGGACTTTTTCATTTATATAGCAAAAAAATAAAAATCCCAGTGGTGAATAAATACCACCAAAATAAAGTTTTATCTGTCTCAAAAAAAAATGCTAAAAAAAATCATATGGGTATAGTGTTGCATGACCGCGCAATTGTCATTCAAAGTGTGATAGCACTGAAAGCTGAAAGTTGGCCTGGACAGGAAGGGGGTGAAAGTGTCCGGACTTGAAGTGGTTAGTTCCTCCCATATAACTCCCTGTAACCCTTTTACTAACCCTCCCTGTAACCTTAACACTAACCTACCCTGTAACCCCAATACTTAGAACTAACCATTGTACTAACCCTTCCTGTAACCTAACCCTTCCATTTTTTCCAGAGTATTTTCAAACAGTACATGTTGTACAGTAATCTATAAAGATGTAGATTACTCCAGTGACAAAGAACAGTACAATATAACAACGTAATGTACAGTATCAGCTTGTTTACACCTGCATTGGTCTGTAGAAAGCAATCCGCAGTAGATAGCTTTTCACAGAGCGGCTCAGATGTGACTGACAGGCTTTCAGGAGGGAATACTGTGGGCTGAAGGAAGGAAAATCATTTGATTCCCTTATCTATGCTAAACAGGTTAGATGGAGGAATCTCCAGTGCTGGCTCTTTAATTCAAGCAGCCACAGCTCCCATGGCTTCCTGAATACCCGAACAGTGACTGCATGTAATAGGATGCAGTCACTGCTCATCGGGTAATTTTTCATCTGGTTCAGGTAGCAAGACACAGGTTCTTTCAGAGCCACACAGCTCGAATATCATCTGATTCAGCAGATATCATCTAAAGTCAAAGCCATCTATGGCCAGCATTAGTTGTTCATTTGTAACAAATACAGAATAAGATAGCAATAAAAGTGAGCGCTCTTGTGGGTAAGCAGCTGGACACTCAAGGAAACCAAATAAAGCCTTGTGGAATACGCATAGAAATATGTGCAGCTCTAATCAATGAATTAAGGTGCAAAATGTTCCAAATAACTAAAAAATTTAATAGCAGTTACTAAATAAATATATATATATAAATAGTACTAGGATCATGTAATAAAAAAGTCCCGTATTCTATCCAAACTTATTGACAGTCTATGTAGTGTTCCCCTTTAAATCAGCAGTGATGTTCCAAGCAATATAGAGAGATTGTGCACTCACCAGATGCACAATGTAAATGTGCATTAAGAAAAAATCCACAGAAGCCTCCTTTACGTCACGGCGTGGAGGGGCCAGGACGCCATGACGTTAAGCCGCCGGAGCCACGTGGAGGCCTGGCGGCCATCTTTAATTCTGGACGGTCAGTCTGATGCACAACGCTTGACAGGCATCACTGATGGGCACTGAAAGGCAGCACTGATACATGGCACTGATATATGGCACTGATAGGCAGCACTGATAGGCGGCACTGACTGGCACTAATAGGCGGCACTGACTGGCACTGATAGGCGGCACTGATGTGCATTGATAGGCGGCACTGACTGGCACTGATTGGCACAACTGACTGGCACTGATGACACTGCACTGATAGGCGGCACTGACTGGCACTGATAGGTGGCACTGATTGGCATTGATAGGTGGCACTGACTGGCACTGATGGGTGACACTGAAAGGCATCTCAGATGGGCATTGATATGTGGCATTGATGTGAACTGGTAGGCACTGATATGTGGCACTGATGTGGCACTGGCACGAGGCACTGATGAGCACTGACATAAGGCACTGATGGACACTGACAGGTAGCACTGCTGGGGCTACACTGATCATCAGGGCACACTGATCATCACTGACCGCCCTATAGCAGAAATCACGGGTGCGCAAAACCACATATATATATATATATAGATATATATATATATTTCTATATATATATATATACGTGATTCACGCTCCTGTGGTTTTCACACCCCTCCCAGATGGCGTCAGATTGCCCTTCAGTACACCAGTCATCACATTTAACCCCTTGATTGCCAGGAACACGTTCATACACAATAAACCTCCATTGCTTGTATAGTGTCTGAATGGATCAATATCTTTGATCAGATCAGCACTATACCAGCGTTCATATTAGTATAGTGTCCCAGCGTTAGTGGGGTCAGCCCCAGCACCTGCCAGCACCTGCGTTTAGCCCCTACGCTTACCCCCCCTTCTCCCCCAGCAAGTGCAGTGCCAGTAGGTCACTGTCACTTGATACATTGCACACAAAACCGCAGTGTTCGCAGAATCAGGCCTGATCTCTGTTAGCACTTGCCAGTATATTTTGATAACTCTCATATGCAGCAGAGTGCCAGTACTAGTGCCACACTACCTTTTAGTGAACTGGCGAGTACCAGTGGCCTAGTACATTCTGGTCTTTCACATACCAGCACTGCAGTATCACCTAGTGATGTGGTGAGTCCCATAAGTGCAGTCCACTAATTCTGTAGCACCTGTACTTCCCCCATTCACTGCCCAACCTGGAATTCAGGTGGAAACAGCAGTTTTAACTACTCCCCTTGATTTTTTGGAGCTGTTTTTCACGGAAGATCTGTATGCATTGATTGTGGATCAAAGCAATTTATAGAAGAAGAGCCGAGCTGCCGGCCCGGTATTCTAACATGGCGACGGGTAGGGTGGGAGGCATGGTCAATATTTGCTCCATAAGACGCACGGATCCCCCCAATACAGTATATACATTTTAGTTTTTTTCTTATTCTTTTCAAAATGTGTTTCAGATTTCTTTATCATTATAATGTTATTTCCTTCCCAAGAAAAGTGAGAGCAAATTATGAAGAAAAGTAATACTGACTTGAACCCGAATGAGTACAGATCACTACATGTACGCTACACTGGCGAGTGATTAAATATACAGAGGCCTTAATGGGAAAATGAAAGGACGCTTCTATCTGGTAAATGGAATTGACATCTCAGAAACTGCAAAATAATTTACTTGTAAGAATAAATAAACGAATGATAAATGATCATGTTTGGAATACCGAAAGCAATTTTATCAAATCAAACACTAACAAGGAAACTGATTACGCGACTGCATACAAGACTAATTTATCGGTTTTCGGAAGTGCAAAGCAGGGAACATTCTGCTCCATAGACTTCCTTGTCTTCTGCGAGCTTGAAAGATCTTTTGATTGTTTCCAAACTTTTCAAATCATGACTTGGGATTTGGCCAGATGAAAAGTGGAGTCGTTGGTTCTATCTGAACACATGTGTTTCTCAGAATATTCCTAGGTAGCATACACTAGACCAAGGTTTCTCAACCAGGATTCCATGGAACACTAGAGTTCCTCCAGAGGTTGCTAGAGGTTCCTTGAGCAATGTGAGATTCCTGCCTTTCAGATAAGTTCCCACTGACACCTTTGAACTTTCTAGCTATCACTAGGGGGGTTACTCTTCCCAATGACCATATGTGTAGGGACCCAGTGACCATCACACTAATGTATAAGTTGTAGATATAGTCATTTTTAGCAGGGGTTCCAAGAGACCAAAAAGTTATTTCAAAGGTTGCATATAGAAAAGGTTAAGAAAGTCTGCTGCAGAGGGTGGTTGCTCTTTAATGCATAATAATACAAATACATTTGAGATCCAATGAGAGCAAAGCTTGTAAACATTATTTAGTCTCTTTTCGTATGTTAAAGTAAGACTTTGGCTCCATTCACACTTGTACGAGTTGTCATGTGAATTTGGACATGACAAGTCACAGCCTATAGCACCCATTCAGATCAGCACTACTTAAAGTTGCAGCAGTTTTTTTTTTCAAAGGTGCCTTCACTACTTTGATGTTATTTATGCTGCGACTTAGATCCAGAGAGTTTAAAGTTGGATCAAAGTCCCACTCCAAAGTTGCACACTTTCACCATTACACAAGTGTGAATGAAGCCTAAAGGCAAATCCTTTTTTTCATTTTAGAAAACCCCAGTAAATATTTATACTGTGTATTCCATTGGGCAGATTTCCCTTCACTTCCTGTCCCACAGTCAAAACAGGAAGCGAGAGGAAATATCTTCAAAGTATGGTAATACCTGGTTGTCACCAGAGTTCAGGAGTTTCAACAAATCAAAAAAGACCAAGATATGAAAAAAAAAATGTTTCTTAGTTTCTGTTATTACATTTTGCAAATAAGTAATTTTTCTTCTTCACAGATGGGCAATGATGAGGCTACACTGATGGGCACTGAAGAGGCTAATGAATGTGTACTTATGAGGCTGCACTGATAGGCAGCACTGATGGGCACTAATAGGAAGCACCGATGGGCACCAATAGGTGGCACTGATGGGGCTGCACTGATTATCAGTGTAAATGAGCCCTGTCAGCTTTGCCGGTTATCGGCTTTCCTTCCCCACACAATGAAAGCACATGAGGAAAGGAATGCCAATAACTGGCAAGTTTGTTTACATGTTATCAGCTGTGATTGGACACTTTACCTTGACCTGTGATCAGCTGTGTCTTCAGGGGGCGCGCGGGAGGTGTTTTCTGGGAGTAAGGCCATGGACACCCTCCCAGAACTAGAGAGCCGTGCTGTAGCTGGTTTTCAGCTATGGCACGGTATT